CAACAATACTACAGCGAGTAAAAAAGTTACGCCTTCTTTCTTTGCGTGAACATTTGGGTGGCGTTATGCAAATCTTCCCACACAGTGCCGTAGACATGTGGGGGCGTGTTAGAACGAGCAGTTTTAGGTAGGTGTGGCTGACTCTTAACTTTTATAAAGAATATCTCTTTGAATTTGAAACTTTAGTCTTTGCAACTTTATATATCTTCTTTATGCACCAAGAGCTTGTAACACTCCAAAGAGAAAGGAAAAATTGAAATCGCATCATATGACCCCTTTAAAATACATTTAAATTAAAACAGTCCATTTTATTTAGTTTTCTTTTAATTCCAAGTTAGAAAAAAAAAAAATGAATCAAGATCTGCAATTTTTCCCATTCAAAAGAGTATATGCATATGCATGAGGATTACATGGGATGAGTTCACTTGTCGATATTTAAATAGATAAATTAATTAAAAATAAATTAGAGATAGACCGATCTTGGTTTTTTTTTTTAGAACCCTTTCCGATTATTATGACCGATAACCGATATGCTGAGCCGATATTTATTGTTTTACTTCTGATTTTGACACCATGTTAACAACAACACTGATCTGAACAAGCACTCCATGCTTGCAAACAAATCAACTTTATTCCTACATAAGTAAATAGAGGGTCTAAAACTGAAAAGAAAAAGAAAAAAAAAAACAGTTGATCTCAACTGGTGTGTTATCAGTTATGAATAGCATTTTCGCTTGTCTAGATTATGAAATACCTGCTGACAGAGCACTGTTTTTATCTATGCGTTTAAACGGAGCATATACTCAAATTGCGATCTCTAGCGGAGATCATTTCCACAGAACTGTAATTACTTGGATGCTTATTATAGAAATAAAGGTTATATAGAAAATGTTAATGTAATTTATGCAGTCGAGCGAGTGGATCTTGTACCATGTAGCTTTTAACATGCCGGAGCGTAAATCAGGTGAGTGAACGGGACTCATTAACGGCAGCTTTACGAGTATAATTATACTGCATAAACAACTGGTAGAGTTCAATTAAGCTGGTTTATTTCCAACATGCACTTATTTGTCTAATTTAACTCATGTGACGTTAAGTCTTTAGGCCATGACTTTATTAATTGTATGACTGTCCTTGAGTTTATCTCCATTTCTCAACGCCAAGCTTAAACTTAGGGATGCACCGAAATAAAAATTATTGGCCGAAGCCAAACAAAATGAAACACTGGGCCGAAGGCCGAATACCGAACACGGTTTTTCTCATTTTCCGCCATTTTTTTCACCATTGCATAAATTAAATAGCCAAAATGTGCTTTTTACTGTTTTGTCCTGCATTTCAAATAAAAAATCAATTACAAAACAACAATTTAAAAATATTAACTTAACACTGAACATTTTTTTTTTACATTCTAGCAGACATTATACCAACAAAGCACAATTTAACTTAAAATTAATAAGTTAGTAAAATAATATTTTTGGGCCATTTTTGAGACTTGAGTCAGGCATGTATTTTTTACTGTACAAATAAAGTACAAAAAAAAAAAAAGCACCTTCTCTTTGCCCACAGCCAGGCCGATCAGGCTGATGCACTCAATGGTCTTTCCTCTGAGCAGGCGAAGCTCCTTCTGAACAGAGTTCTCTACGATGTGCTTGAGGGAGGGCATGAACAGATCATAATAGGGCACAAACTTCTCCTCTGCAGTATCAGCCACTGAGGCGATGGAGGTTACAACCTGCTCCAGCACCAGTTTGGTGCCTTTCTGGATCAGCTGAAGAATAAAATCCAACATTAAAGCATTAACTCACCACCATAAACCACACCCAGAACAAACCAATTGTCTCAAACACTGCATGCAGAGAAGTCTTCACACTTTCAAATCAATGGTGATCACACAATTCCACAACACCTCCTAACATCTGAATTGAGGGTCGATTTAATTTAAATTCAGCAAACTTAAATGAAACTGAATTCATTTCTGAATTGAAGTTGAACAGACCCTAATACAGATCAAACTAAATCTCACCGCGTTAGTTTTGTGCACCTAACAGAAGAGAAAACACATGAAGAAACGGCAGTTTCCACACAACAAAAACACTTCGCAGCGGAGTTAAACTTATTAAAAGAGCAGCAAACTCCCTTTAACCAATCCAACAAATGAAATCAAAGGGATAGGAGGCAAGACACACCTCCTGGAGTTTGGCGACCATAATGACATGCAGGTGCTGGACGAGGCTGTCCAAATAGGGGATGAGCAGGGTTTTGGGACAGTCCTCAGTGAAGTTAATGAGGGCGGCTGCCGCGTGGGCCTGGACACGAGGGTTTGACTGATCTTCCATGGTCTGCAAGAGCGCCGAGATCACCTACAGAAAGAGAGCGCAATGATGAATGTGACTGGTGAGATACAAAATGGGAAATCAAAAAGCTTTAAAATGATAGTTTGCCCAAACATTATATAAAATTTTTTTTTTTTTTTTAAAGTAGGCACAATTTTTGAAATAAAACCTTAGCTGTAATTTAAAAACATATTTTACTATAAAGAATAATAATATTAAGGGTGCTCTGATTGATCGGCTACCGATCAGTATCGGCCGATAATCACGTTGGGATGATTGATCGGCGGTCTCTAAAAAGGCCGATCTCAAGCTGACGCGCCTGCCGTGAGAGGTTTGGCACGACATGCAGCGACACCGTCTCAGTCTCTGTCTGTCCTCTGTCAACCGGAAATGATGTGACTGACTGTTTCCTCAGCTACTCCACACATGCTACATTTACTGTTGACCTGCAGGTTGAGGATCTTGCATTCGTGGTACCTGGTAGAGACCTGCGCGGGACGGATTTTTCAGTTCTGCAGGATTCTGGCAACGATGATCAGGCTCTTTGTTTCTCCTTTCAGGCCAGAACTTCAAGTTAGACTGGTTTCCTTGTCTACGAATGGCTCATTCAGATATTTGAAGAACTTGCCATGTAGAGCCTTCTCCTTCACACAATCTAATCTTGTTTGATATTCCCTTTCAAGTTATTTTATTATTATAGTAGTAATTTACATGAATCAACTACATTTTATACCCAATAATAAAAAAACTTTACCAAAACCATTAAATACAGTAGTAGTCATAGTTAAATATTTATATAGCACTGAAAGAGTCACAATTTTACTCCTAATGCAATACACAAGAGATTACATAGACTTGTGAAAAACTCTTCCCTTTCTTCTGTTAAAATGATCAAACTACTTCAGAAGACTCTGAACAGTGCACTGCTGTGTTTTTCCCTTTCCTTTTTGGAGCCTCCCGCTTTCATTTTATGGAAAGCATTAACAATGGGTAAATAACTGCATTTGTATTCGGTGAGGAAAAAAAATGTGAAAAATGTGTGTAAAAACAAAACCAAGCAATACCTTGTCGTGGAATTTTTTCTGGAAGGTGGGGGCAAAGTCTGTGGCCATCTGGCCAATAGCATTACAGGCGGCGTAACGAACCCGGGGGTGCTGAAGGGGTATAGTATGAGGCTCAGTTTAGCGTCTATACTTGTTAAAACGCATCAAAAATGAAGTGCTGTGATTTACGGGTTTTCTTACCGGATCCTGACAGAAGAGCAAAACGAAGCTGACGATCTCACTCAGAATGGCCTCCATCTGTTGATGACAGCCCTCGCCAATAGCAGAGAGCGCCATCAGACCAGCGTGCCTGTACTTCCAATCAGCTGCGAAGAAATTAGAAATATATTTATGAACAAAAATCTCTTTTTTTATAAACGCGATCACAACAACAGATCCTGATGCATCTACTCACGGTTCTGCAACATCTGCATGATGTGCTGTTTGATCATGGGAAGGACAATCTTTCCTCCGAGGCCACATGCAATCCTATCCAGAGCGCTTTCACCAGCAACAGCATTACTGAACAGGAGCAGAGGCCAGAAAGAGTCAAATCACACTTTTAAATGATCTATAATCAGAAACAATGAAGCATTATTGACAGGCATTTCAAAGCAATAATGCCACAATCCATTACAGCAGGTTTTTATGCTCTAAAATGTAAACGTCTACACAGTAAGTTGAATTAACAAGTATGAAAATACAACTTCCAACAAGTTTTATTTTAAGATACATTAGGACACTATTATAGTTTATTAGTAGGGCTGTGCGATATTGAAGAAAAATGCAATACCTTGTTATAAATAATGCGATATTCAATACGATATTGACTTAAGTGTGTCAAATCAATTACAATTATATTCTAAAATATTTAAAAATGAAAATTATATAACCAGTATATGCTTCACTCTTTAAGACCGACTGTACGGATCCAGTATAATGATACACATCCGATTTCTTTCTCAGCTGTTTACATTAATTTAAAACATAACTGACTGCGTTTACGAGAATGATTGTCGAGACGGGTATTTTGACATAATTCTGTGTATGTGTCTGTTTAAACATAAAGAGATGCGAAAGACGAATCAACTGTGTTCGCGCTGTCTGAAACGCGTCTCTGTGTGCGCGTGTACGCGCGTGCGGCGGCAGTGCGCACAGAAAACTGAAGAGATCACACGCTGTCCGAGATGCAGCTTGTGCACCCGCTTCAGGTGTGAGTCAGACAGCAATAAGAGATAGCAAAGAGTTGTTTTCTGCAACTTATTGCACTTAACTCTTTTTAAAGTCAAGCACTTCTCTGCTGTGTCGACCTAAAACGTTGACCTTTTGCAACGTTTTGATTTAAGTAGTCCATTATTAAAATAATTCAGATATCGCATGCCGTTGCAATATGCATATCGCGATATTTACATTTGCGATATTTTGATATATCGTGCAGCCCTATTTATTAGCATTTTGAATCAACTTTATATTATCTTTTCATTTTTAATTTTAAGTCATTTTATTAATTATTTTTTGTCAGTTTTGTTTATTAAACAGTTTTTATTCATTTTTCAGTTTAAAATAAAATGTGACCCTGGACCACAAAACCAGTCATAAGGGTCAATAAGGGCTTTCCATTGATGTATGGTTTGTTAGGATAGGACAATATTTGGCCGTTACCATACTTTCAAAACAAAAATTAAAATAGGAAAAATATGCAATATGAAAATAATTGAAGACAAAATGTGTTTTACTGAGAAAAAAGAAGATTTGGTTTTTAAAAAGCCTTTTTCCAAAAGGTACATCTGGAAAAAGGGGTGTCGTCTTATAATCAGGGTCGTCTTATATTCGGGCCAATACGGTATTTTTGGCTATTGCTACAAATATACACCAGCAACTTAAGACTGGTTTTGTGCTCCAGGGTCACATATTAGATTTCAGCTAGTTGACAAGGCAAAATTTCTAGTTTAACTTGATGTAGTAAAATAACTACAAGATGAAATAAATAAATTAGAAATTTTGCCTGGTCAACTAGCTGAAATAAAATATTGCAAGTTTTTCCAAGTAATAATTTTAAGGTTTTAGTTTTCAATAAAAAAAACGACTTCATATCTTAATTTTGCATCTCACGTAAATGTATCTTTATAGGAAGTTTAGATATTTGTATTAGAAACCAAGACAAAAATAGAAAGGAGGATATTGATTTTTGCAGCACATGTAACATTTAATGCCTTGACTTTAAAAATCTAAGACTTTTAGCTCAGATTTAATTTGAGGAAGAGTAAATTAAGACTTAAAGACCCTCAGAAACCCTGCACAGATATCAAATCCTTGCAAGCTGCACAAGTAAACTATTTTTAGTAATGGGAAATTACCAGTATGTCAATTAACCAGTCCTGAAGAATAAAACTGATTGGTCAATTTTGTATGAGCACACAATTGACTGCTGCTCCCCCGAAAAATGATTGATTATACCTCTTATGCAAATATTAAACTCACCTATCAAAATCATCATCTTCTAGTTCATCAGACATGGCCCACTCCTCATCCTCCTCCAGATCCACCATCATACTCAACATCTGAGGTACTGAACACATTTACATGCAAAATTATTAAACATCACAGCAGCTGGCTATTTGGCCTTCAATGGTTAAGCATTACACAACTGCAAGTAATTAGCAATGTCAGAAGGATAACTAATTAGCATCGCTATCAACCTGACTTCATTTTTCTTAAGGGTGCTTTCACACTAGCACTTTTGGTGCGCACCCGGGTTCGATTGACGTCAGAGTTCGGTACGTTTGGATGATGTGAACGCGGTCTTCCGAATTCGGGTGCGCACCCGCGAACCGTACCAGAGTCGGCATAAAAGGGGTGGTCTGGGGTACGGTTCAAGTGAACTCCGGTACGGTTCGCTGCTGATGTGAACGTAATCGTACCAAATCACGGAAGTGAACCGCTATTAATGACGTATTATTTGATAAAAATGTGTGTTTGTGCGTTTCACTCACATTCCTGACGCGCTGCAAACAGAGAGCTGTATATCTCATTTCTGTTCGCCTTCAGAGTTCTTTAGAGCATTTGCATAAGGCAGACGTAAGTGCCGTTATGTACTGAAGCTTTGGAAACAAAAACGGTTCAAAAGCATAAATAAAACTGAAGAGCAATGCTCCACATTTTGCAGTCTTCTCCTGCACCATCGTTACTAAGCAACGGGGTACAGCTGCTGGCTTGACGCAAACGAACCGCGGTTCAGACCCAAATAATATAATGTGAACAGTCCAGCGGGGGGCAGGGGGAGCAATCGAACTCTGGTTCGGGCCAAGCAATCGAACCAAGTGTGAAAGCACCCTAAGTGCGACAATAGATCAGCTGTTTTTGAAAGTCATTTTTTACTGACAAAACGCTGATGCAAAACAAAAATGCATTAAGTTGTATAGTTCGACACGCTTTTAGTAGCTTTAAGCTTGACAAATTTCACTTTCATTAGCTTTACCTCTGGTAATTAGCATTGTAACATATGAAGCGTTAAAGGGGTCATATGATGTTGCTAAAAATAACATTATTTTGTGTATTTGGTGTAATGAAATGCGTTTATGCGGTTCGAGGTAAAAACAAAACAAAAAAAACACATTTTCCACATACTGTACATTGTTTCTCCTCTATGCCCCGCCTTTCTGAAACACATCAATTTTTACAAAGCTCATCGGTCTGAAAAAGCGAGGTGTGCT